CACATTATAATGGCTGAAAGGGCGAGCATGTTTGGTATAACGGGGATCCGAACCCGCGACCCACAGATTGCAAGACGAGCGCCCTAACCACTTGGCCATGCCGGGCTCAAATCAGGAGCAGTGCTTCCAAACCAAACTATTGTATTCAAACAAATTTAAACTTGGATCTGCTTTCAAAAATCGACATTTTGTCTCCAAATAAGCTCAACTGTATGGTTGAAACTAACTGAAACCTTTTAAGATATTGCTATTAAGTTAATTGAACATAAAATTGTTAAGTGAAACATATGATACAATGTTAAATATTCTAATGAGAAACAGTTAAATATAAATAAAAATCTGCTTAATTTTATCAAACAAGTATCGATTATAATTGCATAAAAATGTAACAGTTGAAAATGTTAATGTTATGTCGCTATGTTATTATTGTATATTTATTATTCACACAAAGCATTGTATAAAAAACTGTTGAGTTAGTCATTCAAATTCTTATGCAGTGGGCGCTGGGTCATATTTTAAATTAAACATGAGATATTTTCGCAGGGATTCAACAATAAAAAGGCATGGAATAGAGAAACAATATATTATAAACTCGAATCACAATGGTGAAACTACATCATACATATACCGGCCTCGTACTTCTCAAACTGACTTTCGAAACGGTGTATACTGTTCCTAGCACTGTTTAATAAATCACAAAGTAACAAAAAAGATAAGCTGAGAGCCTTCGGAAGGATGGTCTTTATTGAAAGGTGAGCTGTAAATGAGTGGGAAGTGCTAAATTTAGTGAAATGGTCTTCATGACGTCACGGGTATCTGTTATAGAAGATCGAATCAACATGGAGTTACCTAGAATGTCTTTCACTGGAGCCTCCAGTGGTACACCAGTAAGCCTGCAGACTTACAAGACTAAAAACGGGTTTCCACGTGTATTTTTGTGCTTAATAACAAACAAACAAACTTTCATGGGAAATTTTCTAAGTGTGACTAATTACCAGTGTATAAAAAGAGAGGAAAAGGAAGTGTGAAACAATTAACATTAGGGGGTTTAGATAAGTTGTTCAAAAAAGTAAAGTCAAAAGTAATATGGAAACTTAAAAGTTCTACAAATAGCATAAGATAAAAAAGACTGCAACAGTTTATAGCTTTTCTACTAAGTTGTCATGTATGTTCATTTTTTTCTCTTTCTCAGCACTAGTAACAATGTAAAAAATGCTATGTTTTTAGTTTTTTCTAATTCACTTTTGGCATCTGTACAATGATACAGCAAAGTTACGTCAACTAAACTTATCACCTGATTTTCCTTTGTGGATGCAGATATTCATTGTGAAATATAATATGTAGCCCTTATGTAAAAAGTGACTAAAATTATGTCTGAAGTTTTAAATTTCAGCTTCTAAGGTGACATTTGCAGCGAAACTGACTTTGTGTGTTTCTACTTCACGTCTCGTAGTTATCAAAACAGCCTCATTAATTCCTAGCTACTAACAACATCTGTTTATATTCTAATGAACAGGATGTAAATCTTGCCCACTTGAAAGAGATATTGTTATTTTTTGACAACAATTTGCTGTTTATCCATTGTTGCCATGAAAATCATCGTAACTAGTTGATCGGAACTTAAATTAGTTGTTGTAAATAAGAACAGTTTTGAACTGTTTAAATCATTTAATGTTAGTCTATACATATGTGAATAGTTCATTTACAGTTCCTATAAAATCAGAAAGTGCAATTAAACGTGTCTGCCCATCGTTAGGCAAGGCAAGAATTATTATTCCTATAATCAAACTAGTTTTTATTATAAATAATTCATCACATCATATTTTCTTCTTTTTTGTCTTTAGGTTTTAGCTTACTTAGAAGAGAAAACTGTTATGGGATAATAATTAAGATGAAACTCACCCAGGCAAGACTTGACACAAATGTAAGCTTCCATTGAAACTTTCCAAATCCTACTGCGTTTACAGCTTCTTCAATGGTATAAGACTCTGTAACAACAAACGTAATAATGAAATTGTTTTAAAAAATTTCAACTCTCCAGATTTCTTTTGGTTCTTTCACATTTTGAAATTTTATATTGGTCTTCAATTTCTACCAAATATCTTTTCGTGCCACCAACATTACAGAATCCATTTTATTGCTTTTCCGTCTGTCCCTAACTAGTTTCTTGGGTCTTTAACCTTTTAATTCACTCTGATGTTTTCACAATGCAAATCTGAAATGTTTGATTAAACAGCCTCCAAAATAGCCACAATTTATATAGCTATGACTCTTGACTTGACTCACCTACCAATTGTACCAAATAAAAGAAACATGCTTTCTATCCAACTGTATCAAATATTCATACAATTTTCTTAACTCCTTTTACGTTTTTACTTCCGATCACCGGTGTTAGCACAAAATTATTGTAAATCGTTAACTGATCTTTGACAGCGACAATCTGGTCAATAGTATCAACTATTCGGTTTGAAATATTTACTTTCTCGTGATTTTTAGCCGCGGATGAGTGGCTAATAGAACAGATCATAGCTCCGTCATCTCTTGACCGATTTGAGGTATAATTAAAATTTTGGACTCAGGTGGTCAAACCCTTTCGATTGGTGCATTTGACTACGCCAAAGGTTTCATAGATTAATTTGTTCAAATCCTGCTTCAAAGCATTTCAATTTGAGGGTAGGCTG